ATTTTCGCGCGGGTTAAAGAGAAACCAATTAATTTTTGTCGGTTTGATTGTTTTTATGTTTCAATCGTTGGCAATTTATCTAATGTACAAATGTAAATTATTCGCTTGATTCATTAACCTCAGATATTGTCTAGAATTATGGTCCGCTTCGGGTGAGCGAATTTGGAAATTGTATTTGTTGGAATTAGTCGATTGAGAGTTGTTTTGTTAAAGCTCAATCGATCAAGTTCGGTGCTGTAAAGCAACTGTGACTGCTCCTGCTTATAAAATCTATAGGGATATTGTTTTTATCCGTCGCAATATAAGTTGGAAACTTTTGCGTTAAGAAATGCTATTCCTGCAGAAGTCGAATATCGCGCCGTATAAATGGCATCGAAGGTATTACGTTTGTTTTGTTCAAAGAAATCGGCCCGGTCCGAGCTATTAGATATAACAGGAAATAGCCGGGAGTCGTTAAGAGTTCGATTCCCCGTTACGGGGATTAGTTATTTATTAGAAGCTGTTCTTTCCTTCCGATACAGAGAGTTTTCTATCTATATATTAAAAACATTAAGAGGGCATTCTTCCTATTTTATGCCTTTCGTTTCCTGCATTAGCTAAGGGCATTTTCAGGGTAATTACATGCCAATATTGCCGAAAATATGTATTTCCAAGATTGAGATTATTTATATCATTTGATTAAATTCACAGAAATTAAACAACATAAACATTTGAAATCGTTAATATTAAATATAGGTAATGGAACTGTTATTTATTTACATCCTGTATTTTTGGTATTATATAAATAATAAGGCTTTACTGGAAAGCCACGTAAAGTATGCTGTCAAAAATTAATTTGAAAACGTATAAAGAAAGTCATAACGCACTATTTTACAGTTTGTTTAATTGTATAAAAATGCTTTATAATTCTCCAATTCATTTGATCCGAAAAACATTCGAATTCATCATCATAACCCCAACTCCCTAACTTTATAACCCCGTGGCCCCAAAACCCCGCAACCCCACAATCCGGAATACACGAAAGTGAGGACCATAAAACTCTGTGGAAACATTGATCTCACATCGGGATTCGAAACTAGATGACTTTGGGATGGCAAGCTTCCCTAACCCCATAACCCCGCATCACGGGGTGTTCGAGGGTGTATAAAAACGAAACTCTATAGGAACTTGGATCTCATACATCAGGAGTCCTACTGAGAGTTGGCAAGCTTCCATAACCCCATAACCCAGTAACCCCGTAACCCCACTACTCCACAAAAAAATAAGCTAGGCCATAGTATTTTGATCAGCTGAATTCGAATGGAAATAACATTGGAATTCATGACCTCATTGCACCATAACACTGTAACCCCATAACCCCATAATTCCGAAACATGTTCGATCACAAAATCACGATCACTAATTAATTATACACTCAAAAAAGTACTATTACGTTTTTTTCAGTGTAGATACAAAGAGAAAAAGTCCCGGGGTGAGTGTAACACAAATCTACATGCTCCAGTTCATTCTACAGTAGCTTGCATACTCCGGGTTAAGCGGTTACAGAGTTACAACAGAACTACACATTTCTTAGAGTTCCGTGGTTATAAATCCTTACTACCCAAGGTTATGGTGTTACGGGGTTATTGGGTTATGGGGTTAAGGAAGTCTGCCAACCCACAGTTATGTAGTTTTAAACTCCTGATGTATGAGATCCATGGTCCTACAGAGTTTCGTGGTTATACATAGTCGCACACCCCGGCTAAATGGGATATGGGGTTATTGAGTTATAGGGTTAGGGAACCCTGCCTACTTACAATCATACAGTTTCGGACTCCTGATGTATGAGATCCATGTTCTCACAGAGTTGTGGGGTTATGGGGTTACGGGGTTATGATACCATGGGGTCACGGGGTTATGGTGCAATAAAATCATTTTTCTAAGCACTTACATCATCGTGCGATTCTAGCACAGTTGCAATTTATTCTTAATATAATACAATCCTAGTGCAGTCGAATTGCAGTTTTAGCATCGTCACGATATTATCAATGTGATATTACATCGTATAGTTTAATGGATCTGAATAATTTAAAAATATCCTGCGAGTTAAAAATAAGCTCGATATTTGTTATTTTCAATCACCGTCCCGATATCAACCTAAAAAATAAACATATAAATCTGAGGGCGGGCGATAATTTAAGAATTTCCAATATGCAATATACTATAATCCGCTGTCTCATTTTTTGCGAAATTTATGTTATTTTTATGGATTGTTTCACCCAGCCGTTACCGTTAGGCGAGAAAACAATCGGCATTCCGTACAACTGAAAAGTAATGCGTCGTGCCGTAGAATATCAATATCATGTAGATCCGGGCTTGATAACAGAAATAAAGTAGAGGGCAGAAATGTGTCCTCTCAAGTCATAAAGGTCCTCGCGGGGCGTATTAGGAGACCAGGGCGATTGGTATAAGACGTGCCATACACGTAAATCCATGTTGAGTCTACGCTAACAATCCAAGAAGTCCATACAAATGCGACGACATTACTGAGACATATAGGGGTTGTTATATTGCCGATGCCTCTGAAATGTACATTATACATCACGGCCTTTTACGCCAAACTTCGCTGGACTTTTAAGCCGAAAACCTATAATACTTACGATATTAAATGTGGATATCGATATTCAATTCCCCACGGTCCCCTTTTTACTACACGACACACATTTATACAACCGACCAGCTTTCTTGATAAAAACATTGGTAAAATTAAAGATAATATAGTTGGCTGAAAGTGGTTAGCTCTTTTTAATACTCAATTACCAGCACAAAAAGGAATACATGTCAACAATTAAAATAAACTGAAAGATAAATTCATAATTACAGTGTACAATGTCAGTTGACAAACATAAAATTTGACATTTGAAGTAAATTACAAATTTTGGGAAATTTACAACGGTTACTTCAATAGACGCAATTATTGTAAAATTATAATTGTATCAATGATTACAAGTTTCGTTATAACGAAAGCAGTACTGTTAAAATTTTTACATAATTTGTACAGTCACATTCATATCTGTAACATAAATGTAATATTACACCAACTAGAATTTTTGTTGTATTTTTACAGGGAACACTGTAAATAACTTGTTAAAAAATGTCCACAATGATTTCATCAATATCGTGAATGTATACACATTAGTACTTATCAAACAGCTATTATAAATTTGTAAAATTACACCAACTTTACAAAATTACTTTGTTATATTTTTATGGGGAACACTGTATTTATATAACTTGTAAAAAAAGTCCACATTGATTTCATCAATATCGTGAATGTATGTATACACATTGGTACTTATCAAAACAGCTTATTAGAATTGTGGTCTAGATGTCTAGATGGCATAAAATCCAGTTATCTTCATTCTCGTGCATTATTATAAAATTACATTACAGTCGGAAAAATTATTTTAATGAAAATAGCAATAATGGGTAAAATCAATTAATGATAAAAAAATTTCCAGCACAAGTCGTGACGTCGAAATCAGATAAGTGAATCAGACGATCGCAGCGGCCATCAGTGTAAAATACTAGGAAAATTACATTCATTTTTCAGAGGAATGTATATCCACTGTATTTTATGATGGGAATTACATTTGTATAATTACATACGGGCACAGACTTATCAAGATAATTTATTGAAAGGATATGGAAAACATTCCAGTGCATTGTAAAATTACATTGTAATGGGAAAAATTATTTCAATTAAAATACTATATACGTATTTCTAATACAAGTCGTGATTATGGATAACGCAATAAGTGAATCGAAATACATAAATTTAATCGATATAGTAAATGTAATGTAATTTTATTGTATTTTTTAGTATATAGATTTATATCGCTACACATATACATCGGTACTTATCAAAATAGTTTATTAGAACAGCTACTTAGAAGTGGCAAAACAATTTCGAACTAATATGCAGTATTGTAAAATTACATTATAATTGGTAAAATAATTTTACCGAAAATGGTAATAATAGACAAATCTAATCAATGATGTATAGATTTCTAGTTTAAGTCGTAATTGTGGATTACAGTATACGTGAATCTGAGAACCCAGGGATAAATTACAAAAAAATTACATTTAACTTACAGTAAAATATAACTCTCTTTGAATGATCAACTTAATGGGATTTATATTTATATAATCATATTTATATCTGTAATATAAATGTGAAATTACATTAAACGAAATTGTTACCCCTTTTTACGGGAAATATTACATTTACATAATTTGGTAAAAATTACGCTGTGCTTTAATCAATATAGTAAATGTAATATAATTTTATTGTATTTTTTAGTATATAGATTTATATAGCTATACATATACATCGGTACTTATCGAAATTTAGAACAGCTGCTTAGAAGTTGCAAAACAATTTCGAACTAATATATGCACTATTGTAAAATTACATTATAATTGGAAAAATAATTTTACCTAAAAGGGTAATACAGATTTCTAGTGTAAGTCGTGATTGTGGAATACAGAATAATTGAATCTGAGAACCCAGGGGTGTCGCTGTAAAATTACAAAAAATTACATTTAACTTACAGTAAAATATAATTCTCTTTGAATGATCAACTTAATGGGATTTATATTTGTATAACCATATTTATATCTTTGACGTAACATAAAAAACATCAGCTAGAACTTATTTAAAATTGTTGTCATTAATATCGCAAATAAAATGTAACTTTACTTTGTCTTTCCGGTGTATAAAGATTTAAACTGCTACACATGCATTGGTACTTAAGAAAATAGTTTATTAGAACCGTTCCCTAGATGTGGGAATATAATTTAGTAACATTTCCTCGAGCTACCCTCATTCCAATGCATTTCCACATCTCATTACTTCTGCAGTTCATCACGAAGACAGGCTCACCTGTACTTCGTTACATCAAATGACTCTTTGGTGACGAACACATAAGAATTATGGTCTATTTCTACGTGATACTCACACTTAATGTCCAATGTTTCCACCTTTAAATTTATCTACATCCCTGTCACAAATGCCAGAAATTATTCGACGAGGGAACGTCTTCCGTCTTTATGTCGTTTTTAATTAAAAACGCTTGTAAAATCGTCACTCTCGGGAACGGTTCCTACAAAGTAAACACATGGCTTAGCTTCAACACGAAAAATCGAAAAATAACTTGGAGCATAATCACATTTAAAAAATTCTATAATTTGGCGAATGCGCCAATGCCAAACATAAGTAAAAATTTATTTGTCTGAAAATAAAATAATGAATGACAAGGCTCTGAATTTTATACAAAGAACTTATTCAAAAATTTAAGAGTAAATAATATTTACAAATAAAAATGTCATCCCACATCACCAAAATTGAAGGAAAAATGACTTTCTCAAAAAAAAACATCAGTAAAAATTTATTAGTTTATTAATTAATTAGTGATGGCAATGACAAAGCAATAGATACAAAAATGGTCAAAAAATTCAAATTCAAAACATTAGTAAAAATGTATTAGCGATTCCTGAATATTTTATTTTGATGCAGAGAACCATAATAAATAGGGAAATGGCGATGACGAAGCAAACTGCGGAAATTGTGTTCTATTTAAAAGATGTTAAGTTTGAATTGAATAATTATCTCGTACACTACTGGATATTACAAAGAAAACTGAATAAAACCATCTCCACAAAATTAAACAAAACTTGCAAATAAAAAGACATGACAAAAAAGGTAAAAATTTAAAACATCAGCAAAAATGTTTAAGCGACTCATAAATTTTATGCTTCTACAGAGAATAGGGATGAAAAACTGAAAGCTAGACAGATATTTCGCACGCCACTGGATTCTACCCAAAACGAAAACGACCACAAAAAAAAGTTTAGTAGTGATTTTTTAATATTTTATAACTATACAAATAGGTATAAAAACGGGGGTGGCTATGACGAAGTAATTATTGATGTTAAACGATTTTAACGCTATTGTGGTGACAGTCACGTGTTAAAAAATAATTTAATAAATAAGACCGGAGGTTCTTGGAAATTACCACTGAATGCTATAATACAAAAAAAGTTGCATAAAAACCTCTTCATAACTTTAAAAAAATGCTTTTTTTTGTTTATTTTAATGTATTCTATCGTCTGTAAAAATTAAGGCAGTCAAACTTCTAACGCCCTGTATTTACAAGAAAAAAGTTATTCGACATCACAAAAAACGACCGAACAAGAAATGCGAAACATCAGAAAAAATGTATTAGCGATCGGTGAATATTTTATGCCTATGCGCAAAATAGGGATAAAAACGGGGGGTGGCGATGACGAAGCAAATAGCGGAAACGCAAAATAATTGGCGTTAAACGATCTTAGCTCTGTTGCGGTGACCGTAACAGACTATAAAGGCAGTGTCGTTACGCGAGATACGGTCCGCGCGGAACGAAGCCGAGGCTGGTGTATTGTTTGTTTGTGGACAAGATAAGTCGGCGTGGTCAGTCGCTATCGCTTTACACTCCATTTAGTCAGCTACAATGATTCGGCTATGGACAATACAAATACGATGCACGCAAGTGACCATCGAAATTGACCGCCGCCCGGCCGCCTTATCTACCAAGAAGTCATTATTCCTATGACAAAGGCTGGCGCGCCATTTCTCACACAGCCATTGACAAGACGTGGACATTCTACTGCCCACATATATCTTCGTTAATTCGGAACCGGGAAACCAGAATCAGTTTGTTGTAGGAGCGATTGTTTTTGATAAATTGCCTTTATTAGAATACTGAAACGCATAAATTTACTGCGGTGCCACCTATAGGACAATGTTTTATCTAAGGACCTGGAATTTCTGACCCCGTATGGAAAGGATGATGTAAAATTTATACCGCATCCATTGGCGGCGCGCTGCTAGGGTTCACATAACCTTTTTTGCGCATGCAGGTGATTATTACTAATATATTTACGTTTCATGGTAAACAAAATACGATCAAAATTAATAATGGTAGATGGAAAATAAACATCTATAATTTAAGTACGAGGTCTGTTCAGAAAATAACCGAACTTTATTTTTTTAAAATTTATTATATTATACATTATTTCAGCACTAATTTTAGTTTCAGAAATAAGAACAGACAATCGCAAAGAGCCAGGTGTGGGGAGTAAGGAGGTTGAGGGAGGACAGTACACTGTAAAAAAAATTTCACTCAAATTTCACTTAATTTCACTCAATATCAATTTTTGTCCACATACGATTGAGTGAAATTTTCACTCTATTAGTATGAGTACAACTGAGTGAAACTATTGCACCAGAAATCAGGGAGTTTTACTCAAATCCGAGTTACTGCTATCAATTGAGCGACTTTTGACTCTATTCTGGGTATATAAAACCAATTTAGAGTTGACTTTTTCTCTAATATTCTTCAAATTTAACTATTATTGAGTCATTTTTTACTCAGACTTGATGAACTAAATATTGAGTGAAAAAATAAATCACTACGAGTTTACGTGAAGAATTTATTTAAGGAGTACCTATATTTGAGTGAAAGTACTCAATTTTAGTTTAAATATAATCACAAATGAGTAAAATGATTATTGAGTGAAAATGTACTCAATTTCACTCAATAATATATCAATTTCTGTCCACACCCGATTGAGTGAAATTTTCACTCTATTAGTATGAGTAATGTATCAAAAATAGCGAGTTTTACTCAAATCCGAGTTACTGCGAATTATCAATTCAGCGAATTTTGACTATTCCGAGTATATAAAACCAATTTAGAGTTGACTTTTTCTCTAATATTATTCAAATTTAACTATTATTGAGTAATTTTTTACTCAGACTTCGTTTTTAATTAACTAAATATTGAGTGCAAAAATAACTCACTACGAGTTTACGTGAAGAATTTATTTAAGGAGTACCTATATTTGAGTGAAAGTACTCAGTTTTAGTTTAAATATAATCACAAATGAATAAAATGATCAAAATGCCGAATATTGAGTGAAATTGTACTCAATAATTTCACCCAATGGATCCACACCGAACCTTTACTGCTTTCACTCACACCGATATTTTTACAGTATAAGCACCATTAAAAAACAAAGCAAACGCATTGACAATATCTTGTAAATCATTATATTTTGCACCAAGACTGAGGTATCAAAGAACTTTGCCTACAGTAGTTCACGCGAGACAAAAATTTTTTAGTAATGGATTTTACGTCTTTTTGAAGCGTCAATAAATAGTTGTTATGCGATATACTAATTTCACACACTTAAACACGATACACTAAACTAGCAATATCATGAACACTAAATGAGATACCAATCCAAGAACATGTGGTTACAGAGAAGGTTTTGCGCAACGCAACGCTGCCAACTGCATATCATTAAATATCTCCATTAGCGTGTAGTTCCAAAAGTTCGGTTATTTTTTTAACAGACCTCGTAAAGGGTGTTGTGGTCCACATAGGATACACTTTAAGTAAAATAAGACATTAGTTATTCTATTACTTGCATAATTTAATTTAAAGTGAATACCTATCATTTCTGCGAGTATATTATTCAGTTATTTATTTTCAAAAGTACGTAAAATACCACATTTACTTAAAAACTCGGACGGATTTTTTCGCGACATTAAATTTTCTCGGAAACTAATTAACACGCCTCTAGTTCTTCCTACTCCTAGAACTTCCTAACGGCAATATATTTCCTGTTGTCGCTTTAAGTGTTTAAAATAAATTATTTTATGCAAATTGGCATCCTGCGAGTAGTAATGGCATCATAAGGTTGCTTAAAGGTCTGTAGCATCCAATTCCCCCTTCCAGGCAAGTTTCTAGGAATATAACGGCCGCACCTATCCTGTTTCTGTCCGATTGAAATTAATCCGAAGCCTTCCACTATTAATGGAGAATATACGCAGATTTGCGAAGACCATTATCCCCCGTAAAACACGTAAAGTATAGTAAGACGCCGCAGCAGGGGAGGGCCAGCACGAAAACAACATTGATCTAGAAGAAAATGTTTTTGAAGCCCGTGTATCCACACTTATACCATTTATAGCTGATTGTTTGCTGAATCTTTCAGCTAAAATACTCTGATAAAAGTGTAAATGTTCATTATCTCCAGTATTTTCGACAATTTCAAAGTAATATTTAATTTACAGTTTGCCCAGACTACAGGTTTTGAATTCCGCAATTTTCAAGAGTAGTTTTTATAAAACTACATACTTTGTGGGTTATTTTTTGGTTCATTATACAATTCTTATAGTTCGGTAATAAGCATTTGTCTAAATTGTCTAAAATCTATATTCAAATACAAAAATATTTATTTTAAAACAATTTTAAGTCATACTACAAAATTAAAAGTAAAAATACGTAGATACACAGACAATATAGCTTATCGCTTCAGACCGCGCGCTAAATGCTGGAAATTGGCAACCTAAAAAGTATGCCGAGCTCACTCTATCTCTATCGCACAGTATAACTCTATCTCTCTCGCACACAATCAGACAAAAACGACAGAAACGTAACTTCCTTTTAAAAAAATACATGGGATTTATCATTATCAGAATAAAGCATAAACTGTATTATTCAAATGACAATAATGTGCGAAAGTTCTTCAGGAATATCGGCAAATTTATTTTGGAGGAAGAATCCCGTCAACGAACACAAAAAAATATTATTAGAAGCCTTAGGTGGCCAGAAAACAGCCCCGATCCCAGTCCCTTAGACATATTTTTGTGGGGACACTTCAACAAAATATATTATTTAAGACCTCAAAATTTACAAGTATTGAAAGAAAAAATACAGGACGAAATGTTTGATAATTCTGAATTTGTTTTTGAAGCAATAAATAGTAAATTAACGCATATTTTCAACGGTATCATCATAATTACTTTGTAAAAATTGCTAGGTATTTTAATGTTATTTAATTAAGCAAATATTGATAATGTCAAAAGAAAGTCGTACATTTGTTTTTTTCTATCTTTAATTATTAAACCTATAAGTGGGTGTCAAAATACAAAAAACCTGTACCTACATTCCGCGACGTGCTAATAACCCACCTTGTATATTAAATAAATGTATCATCATCAAATATTAAAGAAATATATA